GCCCAACTGAGTAGGAACCTGAAGACGGGGATAGAGTCCCATCTCCGAAACGTCGTTTTACGTTTCATATTTACTAGACGATGGATAATATCCAAGAAAATTTTTATTCAATTGACTCTTCACCATCGTCAAGAAGTTTTAGATTTGATATATAATTTATTGAATTTGCGACGACATATAATTAAAAGCCGTGACAGTGGCCACGCGGTCTGAGGCGTGGGCCTTGTGCCGTTTGGTCACTGGGACCGTGGGTTCGAATCCCATGGATGTCTGTCCTCGTTTTTCTGTCCTGTGTACAGGTAGAGGCCTTGCGACGGGCCGATCCCTCGTCTAAGGAGTCCTACCAAAATGTGTATAGATCAAGCGAACGATAAATTGGGACCCGCAATGCTCAGGAACTTGAAGAACGGGTCGTCTACGTAAGTGAGTACGTAAGTAGAAAGGAGACACGTGGAATTATAAAATTCTGTTCCTTAGCAATTGTCCTACGAATCAAAACATACGAAATACAGCAATTCCACTCCTGCCGGGAGACTAGACCTAGAGAAAGTAACAGAGGCGCCTACCTGATGACGTCCTGCATTCGGACGCTGAGTTCTTCCTTGGGGTTGTCATCGCCCTCTGAAGAATGGTTCAGCACCAGCGCCAACAGCCTCATTAGGGCTCCTGTTCAACAACACACAATACAAAAATGGCTGTTTTTTGTGATGTATCACTGTGCATGACATTTCAGAGGGACTTACTGCCTCCACTATCAGGATGCAGAATTAGCCACGTGCAGAAACGCCCATGGTTATTCCTTCCCCCACTTTCCATTCCAGGCATTTATTAAGTAACTTACTTACTGCTTCGTTGACCATTACTTAAGTAACAACGAACAGGCTCTTACATTATGATTCATGTTACTTAACGCAAAACCGTGTTATCACACAACCCGATACTTTAATTTTTAAGACTAAAACTTTGATCACAATAATAATACTCGGCAAAGAGTACAGATTGTAAAGTTCATTATTACGTAAAATTTTCATCACTTTGTTCTCAAACTTTCCAATCCATGTCCTTCCTTAGTACAGGCATACCTCGTTTTATTTCGCTTCGAAGATATTGCGTTTTTTAAAAAAATCGAAGGTTTGTGGTAACCCTGCGTCGAGCAAGTCTATCGGCGCCATTTTTCCAAAATCACGTGCTCACTTCGTATCTCTGCGTCACATTTTGGCAATTCTCGCATTGTTTTTTTAGACATAATGCCATTGCACACTTAATAGACTACAGTTTAGCGTAAACATAACTTTTATATGCACTGGGAAACCAAAAAATTCGTGACTCGCTTTATTGCGGTGGTCTGGAACCGAATTAGCAATATCTCCGAGGTATGTCTGTATATGACTCTGCTACAATACTAATACATCCTGAGGAACTATTTTTATTCATGAAGTTTAAACTTGAGTGAAGCGTTAAATACACGAAATGAACACATCTTAACTTGCAAAATTACAAGCAAAATAACTTCCCGAAGGGGCACACGAGACTTCAACTTCCTAAAGACTTTACAGGGACAATTCTCAACAAGCAGGTTGAGACATTCGTGAATTCTGACCGAGCTGTTCTGTTGAGACTGGTTTCATAAATGATTACGAGTACACATCAGGAACAAGTAAGTTCTTGCATACAGATTCTGGCTTCGTAGCATTGGCCATATCTTCATAAGTGGTTTAAATTACAAAATAAACTGCCTGTATTTTTAAAATTACCAAAAAAAGTATTCATAATAAAACATACATTTCACACGATTTTTACAACAAGCATTTGATAATGTATGTTAATTCTGAAAGAATTATTATCAAAAACTACAGTAAACTTTATAAAAATTTTGAATTTCATGTTCAATATCTTCGTTGTTAATATTATATCTGCAATATATCTAGCAGAATAAGAACCCATTGAGTTATTTTCAAATCTGTACTTTACTCGTACGTACCTGCTACTATATCGACAGGTAGCGAAATATGACCTCCTGTGTTTGAACTGGACATCATACGATTACGGTCTGGTATTAGAACCTGAAAAGAAATTCTTAGTTGAAATGCAAATCCATGCAATCTCTCCACAGCCCGTTATGTAAGCTGTTTTACATTTATTTAGGAGCATTGGGACCCGCAATCTGGGAAAGACCCGTTCTTCAAGTGCCTGAGCACTGCGGGTCCCAACTTTTCGTTGGCTTGATCTATTAGACATTCGGTAGGACTCCTTAGACGAGGGATCGGCCCGTCGCAAGGCCTCTACCTGTACACAGGACAACACAACACAGAAAAACGCTGACAAACATCCATGGCTGGAGTGGGATTCGAACCCAAGGGCCCAGCGACCAAGCGACCAATAAACACATTAAAGGATTTCAAAATATTGTAATTTCTATCACAAAACTGCATGAAACCACTGTAAAATCAAGCAACATAAACATCGGAGCCCAGGAGAGTGAGGACAGTTCAGAACTCGCAGTGTAGCAAAGCTAGCAATCCTATACTGGTGACTCAGCTCTGCAAGGTAAGGATTAAGTCACCTCTATGGCCAAACCACTCACTGCTATCATGTGGTGAGGTCTCGAATACACATTTTCAGTACAAATTCTTGGAGTAGTGCATACAAACAGGCCTACTTTTTTTTTACACAGATCCACATTGCGGGATCCCCCCCCACCGGGGTAAAATGTCCACGGCACGAGGTCTTAGTGGTCAGCCTCACATTGCACTCAAATTAAAAGAGTAAGGCTGGTGTAGAACAATTTAATGGAAACACTAACAGACTTCCAAACAAAAAACATAAACCCATAAAAATGTTAATTCCGTCATTTTAGATTTCTGGTTCTCGTGGCTGCGAGGATGAACATTGCTGTCTTCCAAGTTGTCGCGCCGTGTAATCCACCAGAAGATTACCGACATCAAAGCGTGTTCACTGCCTCTAACATCAGGACGTTCCAAAGATGGTTGCTGTCCTGATGATGGAGGCAGAGAGCACCTCTGAAACGTCGGTAAACTTCAACCAGACTGCCACATAAATCAAAGCGACAGGAATCTTCACCTTACAGCCGTCTTTTCCCTCCATTACCTGGACCTCCTGCGGGTTATAGCCTCTGGATGGACTCGGTGTGCAAGTATCTATGTCCTGCTATCCTACTACGACTATAATGTGTGAACCTATTCCGCGGTGGTAAAAGTATTTTCCCTCCATGAGACAACCTCTCCACAGAAAACAAAACATTCCACGAGAACGCGAGGTTTGAAGGTTTGACGACTGAATTGGCGACGTACCAGGGATGCTATAGATTTATAGGACTCTTTAAAGACTGCACATAATCTGGCATGGTCATCAGAATGACGACGACATATAAAAGAAGATGTGAAAGTGTGGACGACATGGCTTCTTAAGATTTTCTTTAAAACCCATAAACACGTAGCGTAAGGAATATTTCACACTCACAGAAAACATCATGAGTTATAGGGTCCATGGCTATAAAATAAAATGACGTCCGTGCATACTACTCGAAATATCGTGCGGACACAAGACAGCTGGTCCACCTTCAGGGCTCATTGCAAATTAACAACTGTATCTGGAGACGACTCCGAAAAATTAACACAGTTAGTCAATAGACGTTTCTAGCCAGCGATTCAAATCCAAAATTTAAATTATTCTATCCTTACAATTTCGCAGTTGACACTGGGTTCCGTTTGATTATTCCGCTATTTTCAGACACTGAATCAACTCTTGAAGACATGCAACGTTGGAAGATAGAATGAATAGGTTTATAAATGTTATTGTTATTCCATGAACTTGCCTCCGCCATCTCAGATCAAAACATCCAGAGATTATGGGCACCTGAATTTACCCCCGAGGGGCTTCGCAACCCACGGGCCATTCCACTTCCGAGGACTGCACCCCTGGGGCCACCCCAGGTAATATCTCCCACACCCAGTCCCAACCGGGATTATTTTATTTAACCCCTGGGAACTTACAATCCACCCCCTTCCCTTCATAGGCTACAAAATTAAACCCTCAATGGCATAAAAAACAGATCTTCAGATACACCATTTTTTTTATTAGAGACATTTTTCGATGTAGTTAACATTCACAGCGATAACTATCGCCCCAGAGCAGAGTCGAACTTGATAAGTGAACAGTCATGAAATTCTTCTATTTATCGGTGGTCTAGCGGTTAGAACGCTGGCCTTGTAATTCTGGGGGTCTCGGGTTCGATTCCCGGCGGTGCCCGAATTTATAACTTGTGTTGGGCAAGGCCGTGGTCTAGGCAACACGGAGTTTTCCTCCGTGGCATCCCAACAATTACTCCATCCACACACAGAAGAAGGCAATGGCAAACCACTGCTGGATCATCTGCCAAGAACGTATATGAACAAGTCCCAGTCCGAGAAAAGGATGGAAGGATCCTGGTCATATGGACCTGTCGTCAGACAGAACACAAAATAATTTTTTAACTTGTGTTGGGCAAGTCCGTGGTCTAGGCAACACGGAGTTTTCCTCTGTGGCATCCCAACAATTACTCCATTCACACCCAGAAGAAGGCAATGGCAAACCACTTCTGGATCATCTGCCAAGAACGTATATGAACAGGTCCCAGTCCGAGAAAAGGATGGAAGGATCCTGTTCATATGGACCTGTCGTCAGATAAAACACTAAATAATAATAATAATAGGGCTCATTATCGTCTTCATAAGAGCCAGCCACTGGTCCCTGTCCCGAGGCAGATGAATGCAGCCCTTAACCTCACATCCCATTTCTTAAAAATCGATTTTAATATTATGCTATCACCTAGCCTCTTCCATTCAGATTTTTCAACAGTTCTAAATGCATTTTTCGCCTCTACAAAGCCCGTCACATCCTGCATAATTTATCTTAATATTGTCTGAAGATTACATATTATTAACCTCTTCACAGTGTAACTTTAACATTTAAAGACACAGAAAGAAAACGCTGTATATATCTAGAAAGTGTAGACCACATTTTCTCTTCAAACAACAAGATTTTTATCTGTTGTAAAGAAACATCCACACCAGTACGTAACAGCAGAACAAATCAAATTGATATTCAGGACGAAATTAAGAGCAGATTAGTTTCTGAAAGTATTTAAGCTTACTACTACACGTTTTACAATAATTTAATTCCCAATATCCTACCTTAAAATCCAGTTATTAAAACATCACAATATACAAAATCATCATTTTATATCCCGTTTCGTATTTGTGTTAAAACTTTGTCACTGACTCCTGATAAAATATACAGACTGTTTAAAAATGAATCTATGAAAAGGATATTTAAAACTGGGGCAGAATCCCTTACAGACGAATGAAGAAAATCAGATAATTACAAGCTTAATAATTTCTACTCTTTGCCACAGTCAAATAGAATGACGTAGGCTGAAATACGAAATAATCACACAATTTTTATCCGAAAATCGTATGGGAAGAGGCTTGAGAGATCTAAGTGTGGATGGAAGAATAATATTAAAACGGATTTTGGACTAATAGTTGCAGTGTGTGAAGATGTGAACTACGTTGATCTAGGTCATATGACCTTCACACAAATTGAATAACTGAATATTTAGTATATACGTCACACCTCCCCATCAGAGGAGTTGCTAATTTTTATGGCTATTAATGTTTCCTTTTGTTACGTTCGCGAAATACAGCGAAGAAGATTTCAGTGGCTGAAACTGTAGTGCGTGTGCGATCAAGCAAAGACCCCCCACTCCCAACCCCCCCATCCGGCAAGAAATCCAATTTGATCCCGTCAAATGTTATTGATCTGTCCCCCATCTCCTGCTCCGGCCGCAGTAAAATTGAATTTCTCCCTACATTTCGGATGCTCTTTTTTTACAGATGCAACGTCACAACCTGAGATCAATTTAATCTCGGGCAATTTCCCTTGTTCCAAAACAAGAAATATATGCCGATTCCACTTCTGCTGCTTTCAATTTTCAAGGTGCTTCTATCAATAAATTCATTTTGAGATTACTCTTATTTTGCATTATATATAATTCTAAATATGTACTCTTTGGAGTAAATAACATTCCAAAAATGTTCTTCACGCCACAACAACGTCATTATTTTATTTATTTATTTATTTAGTGTTCTGTCTGAGGACAGGTCCATATGAACAGGATCCTCCCATCCTTTTCTCGTACTGGGACCTGTTCATATACGTTCTTGGCAGATGATCCAGAAGTGGTTTGCCATTGCCTTCTTCTGTGTGTGAATGGAGTAATTGTTGGGATGCCACGGAGGAAAACTCCGTGTTGCCTAGACCACGGCCTTGCCCAACACAAGTTATAAATTCTAACCCGAGACCCCAGGATACATTAATTTAATTCAAGGTCAATGTTGCGGAACAATAAGATTCTTCATTCTTGAAATAATGTTTCAACCAGGATGGTGGAGGCAGAAGGGTGTCAAGCCAGGTACCCAGGTCAGGGGAGAGGTGACCCGTGTGGCAAAAACCCTGGAGCGACAGACCCCCAGGAATTAAACATCGTGTGAAATAGCGCGGACAGTAAAGCCTCTGGTGGTTAAGCGTGGATTAGGCGTGAGGGTACCTGAAAGTAGCCTTTTTTTTAGGAGGGGGGGGGGGGAGGCGAAGTCCCTTGGGACAGACCCGGTCACTTCAGGGCGTAAAAAAAGGCATGAAGTTTTTGATCCAAGGTATCCGTTTCTGTTGTCTGTTTATAACCAAACTGGAATTTGTCGGCAGATTTCAGCAAAAGCCCCCTACATACAATTTTATTAAAACGTTCACCCGTTCTCGAAATGTTACATCTGGGCAAACGGACAGAGTGGGTGAGGTAATCAGGCGAATTCTGCAACTTTTAGTTACAAATACTGATATAATATTTCGATTACTTCTGTTCCCAAGTCCTGTCTTTTCAGCGTCACAACAGTGAAGAAATTATCATTACCTTGCAACAATTTCGTGTATTGTTTCCTATAGTAATTTCTTATGAAACATAGGCTTCAAAGTTGTATAAAAATTTCTAAATACAATTTTTTTATTC